TTTATGCCAAACAATCGCTGGGCGACTGAAAACCGTTGATTAATATTAACTAATTATATGCTGATCTCATTTTAATGAATATCTTATCGCAAAACTAAATGTAAATATGATTTTCAATTATTAAAAGCCATACAAAATGAAAATTTTAATAACAAACTATGTTTACGTCTTTCAAAATTTTCCAAAATTATTATTTTATAATTAAGTCAATTTTAATAAAGTCAATATGAATTTTATTATCCTTTCAACAAACATATCCAATAGGAATATAAATGTTTATACATTTTATTTTGTTGTAAACTATGTATTGAAAAATTGAATATAAATTCAATTACGAAAAATGTATTGAAAATTTTGTTTAAATCAAATATCAAATCACTAATTGCTTAGACAAACAAAATACGAAAACTCAATGTATGTATAAATAAATGTTATTTAAATCGGAAATTTGTTCCCTGAATATAATATCCGCTGTTTTTGCCGTTAAATACAATTATAATCAACAGAATTATAGGAATAGGAAATGAGTTGTTGTAAAAAATACACAAATTCTGTATAAATTCTGTTAACGTTTTTCATACAAATACAAGACTCTAATTAAGACATGAATAAAGAAAAATATTAAACGTCTTATTATTTGGGATTTTTTGTGATATAAAAAGTATTGTTATTTTTGATAAGAGTTTTCACTAAATAAATGATAGAAATGTTACTTAATTTATATCAAAAGAAATAATAATAAGAATATTCTTTTTGTTAAAGTTTTTTGTTGTAAAAGAATTTAATTTTTATTTGATTTTTATATTTCACTTATTTTTCACTTATTATTGAAATTTGTTACATTATAGCACATGTCTATATACAGTAGTCTCTCTCTCTCTCTCTCTCTCTCTCTCTCTCTCTCCCTCTCCTTCTTAAGTGACAACAAAAAATCAAATTAATTTTGGTTCAAAAAATTCATTTAAGAGAGAAATTGAAGAGAAAATAAATAACAAAATAAAATACAAAAAACTTAGTCTCGGAATCAATAATAAAATTGGAGAAAATAAAAAATAGCATCCGTATTCCGAAAAAATAGCATTCGGAAATAAAATCAAAATCCGTATTGAATTGAAGGTTTTTTTGCCAATAAATATCTCAGATTTCTATCGATAATAAAAACATCTCAATTGAATTCAATATAGATTTTGAAAATTGAAAATATTTATACGACTATTGCTATGAAATAGGCTTTAATATAATAATAATCATAAATTGCCGAAAAACATAAGAAATCGCAATAATAAATACATTTTATTTTATTTTACATAAAATATTTATATATTTTTTATTGTTATTTCTGGTAATAAAACATTTGTCTATAAACACAAGTTATGATAAAATATATTACAATCTCATAAGAAAAACATTTATATTTAATCCAAATTATAACAGACATTACAAAATATTATTAAATATTTATATCATTAATTAAAAATCATTGCATAATAAGTCATAATTACACCGAAAACACTATTTAACAACTAATTAATTATTGAAAAAATTCATAAAACCAATAAAAATACTAATTAAAAAATAAAACATAAAATAATTAACATTAAAATAATCTATTTAAAACATACAAACAAACTGATCAAGCTCACATTCGCCTTTTTTGCGCTGGTGATCGTTGGGCACGGGGTTACTATGGGTGCGCTCGAGACACTTGTGCTGGTGCTGTAACGCCAGCCGCCGGTCATTAGTCCGACAGTTGTTTTGTTTGTTAAATAAGAAAATATCCTTCAGTTTTGAGTTCATCATTATATCCGATGGCAACACATGTACTGTATGTGAGAGTATAGCGAATGTCATGAACTTAAATATATGTCGTTTTACTTGACTTTTATTTGTAGCAAAAATGGAAAGTCATTAAAAATATATACTAATAACATAGTTTTGTAAAAACAATTTTAACAATGATCCAGGTACCAAATTTGTGATATTAACACAATGTAAATTCTAATGAGTCTCATACTAGTGACAAAGAGAGAGTGATGATGGTAATCGCACTGTTATGTATGAACACTGTTTGCTTAACACCGTTTTCTATGTGTGTCTGTCTTTACCTATTACTCTCTCACAGATACAGAATATGTATGTAATAATATATAGAATACGTATATATATATATGTGTATACTGTATATATATAACTCACATACAGAATATTCTGTATCGTCAAACACAGTGTCGTTTACTCACACTCTCTGTCACTGATTCGCAAAAACTCATACAAAATACACATATAATCTCTCTCTCTTTCTTTCTCTCTCTCTCTCTCTCTCTCTCTCTCTCTCTCTCTCCTTTATATCAAACAATATATACATTCAATAATCACACACTAAAGAAATAATTGTGTCGTTTTTATGCATGAAATGCATGTATTTTTCACAGAATCCCAATAAGTGTAAAGAAACCCACAGAGAGTGTGAGATATACGCAAAGCGTTGTGTTCGCAGACGTATGGCTTATGTGTGCAAAATCTTGAGAGTAAACATTAGGCAAAGAAAAGCGTCGATCCTTATGGCACTACATAATCAACAGGTGTTTGCACTTGTTTTACACACCTATTATATATTGTATATTATATTTGATTTTATAACACAGTTATAGTGAGGCAATGATTATTAGGTAAAGAGTAAGTGTAAGACACAGACAGAGACGACAGACATGTTTTGCACGTCAGATATGATGTGAAGAATATTCTGGGATTGGCTTTACATTTGTGTAATATATTTGTCAATTTCCGAGAGACATATTTGAATCTCTCTCTCTCTCTCTCTCTCTCTCTCTCTCTCGCATAATATATGTCTTATATTTCTCCTACACTAGCATTCAATAGATGGTGAAAACACATATGTAAAAATGTGGGCGTATTTGATATTTACTTATTTTATTTACTTATATTTATCTGATCTGAATTTAATGTCATAAATATACTTTATATGAAAACGTCTCTCTCTCTCTCTCTCTCTCTCTCTCTCGTGATGAGTGGAAATATAGAGAGACATACAGTCAAACATCGGTATTAAATCATACAATAAAACATCGCTTGAATTAACGTTAAATGTTACAAAAAATTTAAAAATAAAATAAAATAAATGACTGCACCAACAAAACATCTATTCGTTTAACTAAATGCATAAACAACCAAACAATTATTATTTAGAGACAAAATTAGGGTAATTTACTGAACTCTATTTTAATTGAAACCAATTATTATAATGTTAGCAAAAGATGATGATGAAAAAAGTATGTTGAATGCATTTCCAATTACATAACCCTCTGGTAATGCAATACATTTGTCTATTATGTAAAGTGAATGGAAAGAGAGATAAAGTTAAGGCTGACAAAAAAATGTAGCTAAAAATAACATTAATATTAATATTTAATGAATTATGTTTTAATTTTTATGTATCTAATTCTCCCACATATATGAGAGTTACGCCACTGATTGCCTGAAATGCACAGTAAAGGCACCTTTATATGCACCTAACGGTGCATTTGTTAACTCAAATGCTTTACCTGTGATTTGAGATTTATCTTCATGTAAAAATGTGGGCGTATTTGATATTTACTTATTTTATTTACTTATATTTATCTGATCTGAATTTAATGTCATAAATATACTTTATATGAAAACGTCTCTCTCTCTCTCTCTCTCTCTCTCTCTCTCTTAATAGAAATCGATTACATGAATTGAAAGGATTTTTATGTGTAATAATGGCATTAGTTTTCTTAAAAGAAATGACAAAATATAAAGATATGTATAGAATAGAGACAAATAATAGTATTCATTGAAATACTCTATTGAAAGATTGTGACATAAAATTGGTTGTCTTATGAGATTACTATTGATGTAATTTCAGGCAAAATAATAATCGATATTCAAATCCATTTTCATAAAATTTACTTAAATAAGAGAGAGAGAGAGAGAGAGAGAGAGAGACGTTTTCATATAAAGTATATTTATGACATTAAATTCAGATCAGATAAATATTTAGAATCTAAATTTTAGATAAGTATCCGGCAATCAAATAACATAATGGTATTAAAACTTATTGAGATGTTTTAACACAATGACTAACATTAATGCTATTGTATTTTTCCATTAATTTTGCTAAAATGTGTAATTTTCCTATTAGTTAAGCATTTTATAAATATTGTCCGCAAACTTTAGATGCATTTAAGAGTTTTGTCTAATAAATTATATACTGTACCCACTCCTCACTCAACCCCTATTTGTACGCTATTTGTTAGTATCAATTGACCAATGTAACTTTATATTACTATTATGCAATCAGATTCCGAGTACTTACAATATTAAATCTCAATTACTATACAAATTTGAAATGTATTTTTAGTAGTTTTTAATTGAATTTAATGCTCTCTAACATAGAGTTTAAGATACTTTATATTCTAATATTGAATATTTAAATTAATTAAACAAAATTATTTTGAAACAGTTATGATTATCAACAATAAAGATTTGTATTATTTCACAATTCCTTCTCAAACTCTTTTCAATCGGTTTATAAATTGTCGAATTGTTTATAAACTAAACTTTAATTATGAAAATGAAATGTTTTTTTTGTGTATGAATTACTACCGAAATAGTAATGATGTGTAATTTATTAGACATTTAAGTATTATTTGATGATAAAAATAAGTTACTAAACAATCAATTTCATAGTAGATTAATATTAATAAAATTTTTTTTTGTGTATGAATTACTACCGAAATAGTAATGATGTGTAATTTATTAGACATTTAAGTATTATTTGATGATAAAAATAAGTTACTAAACAATCAATTTCATAGTAGATTAATATTAATAAAAACCAAAAGTTAATACATTTGCATTTGACGAGTCATTAATGGGTATTGATAGTTTTCTGCAAATCATTCAATTATTAAACAAAAAATGAAATCAAAGTAAATATAATATGCGTTAAAATATATCTAAAATGAGAGTACATTTCCATCATAACTGATTGCTTTGCCGGAAACCGATTCATTGATCCCACGAATAGTGGACAACATATTGGAAACACTGGTCAGAACATCGATGTCTGCTTTAGGGCCACCCATACGCGTGCGAACCCAACCCGGGTGTAGAGACACGACGAGTATTTTCACGGCTTTTAGATCAACGGACAAACATTTGGATACCATATTAAGCGCGGCCTTAGATGTCCGGTACGGATATAACCCGCCGCCCGATTGGCTCATCAAACCGAGAGTCGACGTAATGTTGATGACAGCGGACTTATGGCCAACACTGGACGGCACCTATCATTCAAAGCAATTCATAGGTAATTAAATAATTGCTAATATTATATAATAAATCGTAATCACTCTTGGTTTAAATTTATAAATTAAAACAATTTATTAAACATTGATTTTATTTGGTAATAGAGATAGTGTTTTAAACATAAAGAATAATTAAATCTAAATATTTGGTCAATTTGTGAAGACATGGTTTAAAGAGATTAATTTGTATTCTTAATTGTGAAGACATTAACGACAGAGTAGATCGGGTGCGGAGTGTTTGCGGACATAGATTTAGAGAGGAATAGGCTTTCCGTCGTAATTAACAAAGTCTCCCAAAGTTGAGTCGTTGACACTCTTAATGGTGTTAATCATATTGGAAACACTGGTCTCAGTTGTGATCTTAGCGTTAGGTCCGCCCATATCTGTCTGAACCCAACCCGGATGGACAGCAATCACTTTAATGGCCGATGGCTTCAGATCAACGGCCAAACACTTGGACACCATATTCAGCGCCGTTTTACTCGTCCGATACGGATATAAACCGCCGGAAGTGTTGTCTTCAATGGAACCGATCATTGAAGTGATATTCACGACCGCTGTCTTACGTGTAGCCGAAGAGACCTTTTATTTTGTTAATGCAATCAATATTACAACTGATAATTGGATGACAATTAAGGATTGGGCGCCGGTATAGACAGTGGGAGAGAAAGTATACAACAAAATAAAACTCTTGAGACAAACCTTAAGCAATGGTAAGAAAGCTTTGGTGAGCATCAGAGGGGAAACGGTGTTCACCTCGAAGTTCTCGATCATCTGATCCGCGGTCACACTCTCGAGGTCTTTGTTGATAAGAATGCCGGCGTTGTTGATGAGAGTGTCCACACCATCGGCGCCCACAATCTGTTCCACTTGTTGGACAAACTGTGGATAACTGTCAAAGTTCTTGATCTCCAGTTTGAGGACATGTAGTGACGAGTGTTTGGCCCGAAGTTTGTCCAACTCTTCGTTCGTGTCCTGACGTGAGGTCGCGATCAGGTGTTGCGGCGCCGGCTTTGCGGCCAACAGTTGGCGCACAAACTCCAGACCAATGCCACGATTGGCGCCCGTAATCACCACTGATTTCAGAGACATATCTGCGGATAATTTCAACACTTTTTGCTTGTTTTGCGACCGAAAATGAAAGACAATCAAAATGTTTGTGAAATGAAATGAAAACTTCAATCAATTTATAGCCAAATCTGTGATCACTTGCACTCAAATGGATGTAAATTATGTTTACAAATGTTTGCCCCAAATGTACACAAAGCTATTCATTCAACGTTTGCATACATTTTCTGCGGGAAATACATTAAATACCGTGTATAATAGTCGTGATTTTCACGTGAATTAAAGGTAATTAAATACCATTTTTATCAACTGCTGGAACCGTTCAGGCAACCAGATGACCCGTATGGGACCAATTAAAAATTTAATATCACATTATGGTCAGTTGTGTCATACTTTTCACCATAGATTTTAATTTAGTTAATCTCTTGGTTCAGTTAAATGACAGCAAAAAAATAATACAAGTTTTAATTCACTTTTTATAAACTTTTTAAAAGTTATGATTTTTAATTAACGATTAAAATTAAATATAAATACAATTATAAATACGATGTCATTGTTTACAATCAAAAAACACTCAATTTATGTTTGTTAGACCTCGAGCTCTGTTCCCTATGAATGAGCGACTCTTTGCGCTTAAGACCGGCGATCACTTCCAACTGTTTGTCCACTTTTTGTTGCAATTGATTACACATCACAGGATCGCGACTCTTATTCCTCGACATCGAGTCCCGAAGTCGTCGTAACTCTGACTCCGCTTTTCGAATGTCTTCCGATATCTTAAACGAAGAGATGTTTAACGATTGAGGGGTCGATGCCTTCAGTTCAGCCGTTGATATGGGCTTCGAGTGGCCGGACGTCGAAGGATGCGATGAATTGTTACTTTGTTTGGCAAATACTTTATTATTGATAAAATCAAAGACACTGTTTTCACGGCGTTTCACATTAGTATATCCATCGATAATTCTCTTCTGCAGCGCTTTTTGCTTTAATTTGATCCGCGCTTTCACTCCGTCATCGGTTAAGTATTTGTCCCGCAATTCAATGCATTTGTCCAGAGATTTTCCGGTCGGAAAGACAAACGCTTTCCCTTTATGTAATTTATGGCACATATTATCAGCACTAAAAGTGCACTTAATTTCCATTAATTTATGGTAAAAATAGTTGACGACCTTGGCAAGTCCGTTGGTCTACTGGGCATACCCTGGTTAATTTCATTTACTATCACATTGTGGTCAGTTGTGTCATACTTTTCACCATAGATTTTAATTTAGTTAATCTCTTGGTTTAGTTAATGACAGCAAAAAAAAATTAATACAAGTTTTAATTCACTTTTAATAAACTTTTTAAAAGTTATGATTTTTAATTAACGATTAAAATTAAATATAAATATAATTATAAATACAATGTCATTGTTTACAATCAAAAAACACTCAATTTATGTTTGTTAGACCTCGAGCTCTGTTCTCTATGAATGAGCGACTCTTTGCGCTTAAGACCGGCGATCACTTCCAACTGTTTGTCCACTTTTTGTTGCAATTGATTACACATCACAGGATCGCGACTCTTATTCCTCGACATCGAATCCCGAAGTCGTCGTAACTCTGACTCCGCTTTTCTAATGTCTTCCGATATCTTAAACGAAGATATGTTCAGCGATTGAGCGGTCGATGCCTTCAGTTCAGCCGTTGATATGGGCTTCGAGTGGCCGGACGTCAAAGAATGCGATGAATTGTCACTTTGTTTGGCGAATACTTTATTATTGATAAAATCAAAGACACTGTTTTCACGGCGTTTCACATTAGTATATCCGTCATATTAAGAGAAGACGTCGCGAAAAACGAAATTAAACTAGGCGCGAAAGTGAGGCAGTAGCCAATTCATAAACAGGGCGTTAAGTTACGTAAACAGGTCTCTAAAAGGCCAGCCTTTCTGTTTGCGAACGATCGGTTCCGTAATGCCCTCACCATTGCGTCCCAATCCCTGTCCAAAAACGTAACCCATTTTGGCCATCAGTTTAGAACCGATGCCTTTCGTATGCACTTCCCATTCGGCCATCGCTGACGAAGACTTAAACACTTGGACTCTCATGTCGTCGTCGTAACAATCGTTAAGACTATTGCCATTTAATTGGTCGTCATTTGTCTCCTCCAGACAATCACCACTGAGTGGCACAATGTCTTCGATACTCGTGGTATCGATAAAGTCGTTATCACAGTATTTGACAACAATTGTCTGATCGGCGCGAATGTCATCGACAATGGCTTTGTGCCAAAGAGAGTCGTCTTTGTTTTTGGCCAAACACACGGAATCGCGACCGAAAGTGGAGTAATCGATGGCTTCGTAGGGTTTAATGTCTTTGAATAGCACTTCCATTCCGTGAGAATATCGGCATTTGTCGGCAGCGAAGCGACACTTCGCCGACAGATAGTGCGGACACGAAAGCATCCGATTGTTCAACGGATACGTGAAGAAAACTCTCACTTTAGTATCACTTATATCTGTGGCGTTAGGCGTGTCGTCGTCGCCATCGATGGTCATAATGATTGCGTTGTGATAACGAACGGAACCGTTCGCTTCGCTCAACGGAACTCTGCATTCCTTACCATTTAATTCACTTAACGATTCATTTAGTGATAAATCGTTGCCTATATTTATCTCATTAGCGGACAAACATGTCTTGGCGTCAGAAGTGGATGGCTTTGGTTCGTCACCATTGGACACATCATCGCTATTATGACCACTTGTTTGCGCCTCGAGTTCAGCCAATAGTCGCGCTTTTTTAACACCAATTAATTCAACTAAAAATTGTCAACAAAACAGATCCACATTTAGCGAAGAGTTCTAATGAATTACAAGAGGTTTTTGTGGCAAACCTTCGGTCAAAGCAATGATCTCAATGTATTTGTCTCTCAATTCAATCAAATCGCCGTTTGTTTGGTCGCAATCGAGTGATGTCTGAACCAGTGATAACTGGAACCGATAGAAGAGTTACGGATGTAATGTATAAAACATAACAAATGGTAATCAATACCTCTTCTCTGTATTGTTTGAGAGACGCTTCCAATAGTTCTTCGGTGTTATTATCGGCCATAATATGCGGTAACCGTTGAGTCAGTGGTTATGAAATGCGGTCATAATTGTGGTCACTATATGTCACGTGTCTGTTATGTTAGGTGTTTATAGAGTAGACTAGACTAGAGTGACCACACGCTCCAAACACTACACTATTATTGATTGCATAATGAAATGTTCATTCATTCATAATAATTACGTAAGAATGAAAAGTTCATTGAAAAACATTTAACGTAATGTTTTATTTAAAACTTTTACTTTTAGTTTAATTTATAAAATTTTAAATAAATGTTCCAAAATAATATTGCAAAACATATTACCGTATATTACTGTTAATTTTATAAACATTTCCAACAATGTTCTCTTATGTGTAAGTTATGTCTCACCGGAGTGTCTATTATTGCATCAAAATTTATAATCAAAATGTCAATTTGAAAGATAGAACTTTGGAAGGTAGAACATAAAGATAGATAGAACTTCAATTTGAGTTTCAGGGCTAAGTAAGGTATCTTCGGATTACAATTTAAGGGAGTATAGAACTTGGAAGATTCTTGTAACTTGAAGTAATTTTTTGGGTTTCAATTACGGTTGAAAATGCCTACTAGGCATTATGCCCACTGGGCATATGCCTAGGCATAAATGCCCGGCATTTTGGGCATATATATTTCATGCCCAATTGGGCATATAATTTGGGGGGCGAATTGGGGGAA